TATATAGGATTCAATGTCAAAATTTTTCATATAAAGATATATTTGTTCAATTGCTTTAAAGTTAAGGTATATTTGAATACAATTGCATAGATAGCATCCAGATTTATATTTACATCAATAATAGAGTTATATGGATGAGTAATAGATTTGTATGACATTGCATTTTCAATAATAATACTTCTTCAGTTAGAAAATTGATTCCTTGATGAGATTCAATACTAAGACAATAATAAGACAATAATGTCTTTTATCTTGATTATAATATTATTGTGCAAGATTTGTTCAATCAAAATAATAATTTCAAATATATTAATCCTTGAATAAAAATATCCTTTAAAATAAAAATATTATCCTCTCACAGTCTTTTATTAAAATTTCTTTTCTTTTTAATTTGTACCTTTGTTATTTATTAATTTTAAAAATATTATCCTGCCCTGGTTAGAAAAATTCAAATTATATAGAAAATAATACAACAAAATTGTTTAAAGGTAGACACATATGTGTTATGATTTGTAACTTCATGTTTTATTATAATTAACATCAGAAATCTTAGAAAATTCTCAAATTAAGAGTTTTTTTTAAGATTTGTCTGTAACAACTAATAAAAGAGCTTTCATGTGATAAAAAAATTTCACTTGCACGAAATTTGAATGACAAAGAGTTATGAAATATTTCAAGTAAAACATAAATAAAACTGTCATAGCAAACAGCTTTTTAATTAACCTTTGAGTACAAAGATGGTTTAAAGCTATAGAAATTGATAAATAGAGTATTCAAAATATCCTAAAAAATTATAATTTTGTAGTTATACTATAATTTAGTATGTTAATTTTGTATGTTATATTTTTCATAAATTATATATTACTAATTATAATTTTATTGTTATATGTTACAGTTATAAATTTACATCAGTTATATCCTTGAAATAGAGAAATGTGAAAATAATGAACTTCAAAAAACTTCTGAGTATCTGGACAATATCTTTTTCCTTTTCTTAAATAAAGTTTTAAGGAAAACTATACCTACAAAGTACTATGGTTACTTCTACTCACTTAAAGGTTACATGAAAAATTTTTTTTTTTTCATGATAAGAAAAATATGCGTCACAGAGATACGGTGGTGTTCAAGAAGAACGAGGAAGGACGTGTCTCATGAAGAAACAGATTAGACAAGTTAGAAGCTTCTAATGTCAGTCTTACCTCGGTCCTCGCGTCCGGGCTATAATAGACAAGGATCAGGGTAGTGACGATGTTGACAATCAGGCCGAGCACGGTGATGAGATTGGGTGCGAGCCAAAGCGGTACCTTGCTGACCAGCCAGTCCCACCATGGCTGCAGGAGGCCGTCGAGGATGCTGTTGCTCATGCAGCTATACTTGTGCTCACTGAGCCGTTTCAGCTGACCGGATGACAACAGCTTGTCTTTGTAAAACTGCATGCTTCTTTGGGCCGTACACGTCACTCCGACACTGTGTCACCGAACCGTGGACGCCGAGGATAACAGTAGGGAGACGAGAAAGAAGATGGGAAAACTGTGAAGTCGGACTGCGGACGTTTCTGTGACGGAGACGCGATGTCGACGCGATACACTACCGAGATCACCCGCGACGAGACGGTCAAACATAACAAGCGACCATCGCGTTACGCATACATTTCTGTGTGCTCCGCAAGTCCTCGCAAGTCCCACGCAATCCCACGATATTGCCACGACCGGAAACTGACTAAACTGACTGACCGGCCGCCAGTGACGGCAACTGATTTAGTTTCCACCGAGGGTATAAACCAAATCAGAATGTACGAACCAACCAACTACAGTCGAGCATTCCTCTGTCGTTCGACTGTAACAGGGGAATACTTGACTGTAATTGGCTGGTTCTTACATTCTGATCCGGTTTGAAAACTAGGCCAGTGTCGGCAGTGACGCATGCGTGCAACCGGAACTGATATGCGCGAATGTTCAAATGGTCTTCTCAGAATCTCTTTGCAATAGCAGTGAATTTGTGTTTATGAAGCAGAGAATTTGTGTTTTTAAAGCAGTGAATGTGTTTTTATAGCAATGAATTTGTGTAATTAATGCAGAACGTATACATAGAGCTGTATCAAATCGAGATGATAGATATCTTAATCTCTTTAAAATCTTCAACTTTAACACTTAATAACTCGAGGTTGACCGCCACGTTTTTTGCCAAATTTTTTCGTTTTGAGTGAAAACACGTAGAATAAGTATATTTTTATTAAGATTTGAGCTAGAGCGGAGGGATTGTTCTAAATAATTACCTAATTTTTTAATGAAATGCACGTCGCAAGATGTAAACAATCAGCCTTTGAAAATTCCCGCTAGGCAATTTTATCATCTAAAAACATGTGGCTCAAAAATAAAAAAATATCAAGAACATCAAGAAAATTTTTTTCAATTAATAATGATTCCCGTGATTATTTTCATATATTAGACAATTTTTTGTCGGAAACAAGTTGTTCTGCAAAAAGTTGATTACCAATATTGGTTTTATTCGCATTTTCCAATCACCGGTCTACCTGTAGTTTTCCATCGCCGCACATCGCAGTTTGTTTCGTGTCGCGATGGCGACGTTACTTAATTTATCAAGATTTTTTAATTATACGGCGAATAATTGTCTGAGAAAAGTAACATCGGCCATAATTTGCAAACAATATTATCCTGGTATGTAATTAGAAATTATAATATGCAGAAACTACGCAACAATATAATATAACCTCTCTCTTGAATGCAAACATAACCTCTTTCCTACGCGCTATAATCTAAGGTCCGTATTCAGAACGCGCTTTTATCTCTGAAATTTTATAATATGCGTAAAGTATATGTTAGCGCGCTTACATCATTGTAAGCGCGTTCTGAATACGGACCTAAGAATTTTATTTTTAAAGATTGAGATAAAATAAGATTCATTTTATTATATTAAAATTTTACAAAAATCTAATAAAAGTTTATAAAACTTAAAAAATTTTATATTCAAATTCTGAAATAAAGTGCCTGAAACCATCTAGTAAGGTTTTACAAAATATTAAGATTTCATTAAATTAAATTTTTATAATAAATCTAACATATACATAGCGTTATATTATTGTCGGAATGACAGGTATCTTAACTTCTAAAGTCTTCAAGTTTAACGCTAACCTAATATAATAACCTAATAAAATTAGGTAAATAAATTTTATAATAAATCTATTAATGCAATTTTATATGTAAATTCAGAGAGACAAAGACACGAAATCACCCAAAATTTGTATAGTACAAGAAAGATATTGAAAAATAATCTTTCGTTACAGCATTAAGATTGTGGAAAACACCAATAGCAGAATATCGGACGGTTAAACCACCATGGATGAGGCCAATCCTGGATTACCAAACGGAAATACAGGAATGGGATGAAGAGAGAGGCAAAATATGCACTGGTTATTAAATTATTCTATAAGCATGTATAAATGTTCAATTTTTATGAATAAATTCTAACAAATAGTTTTGTCTTGTTCATAGATGTAACAAACGAAATCAACAATCAGATCGCAACAGACAGTATCGGCCGTATGTTCGCAGTTGTCCAAATATGTGGAAAACAATTTAAGATAACAGAATATGACATTATAATTATTGAGGGATTCTGGCCACCGAACATAGGCGATCAACTAAAACTGGAAAAAGTGTTACTGGTTGGCAGTAAAGACTTCACTCTCATAGGCAGACCAATTTTGAATAGAGAATTGGTTTCAGTTGATGCAACAGTTATAGAAAAGACTTTATCCCATACAAAAACTCGCTTTAGGTTTCGACCGAGGAAACAGTATCGCCGTATAAACTGTAAGATACTTTTAAAGAGATATTTTTGTTTCATTCCTCATGTCTTGCTTATATTAATGAGCTTAACATTTTGTTTTTCAGTCTACAGAATACAACACACAATGCTACGGATTAACTCCATAAATATAAACGGAAACATCAATGAGAAGAAAGAAGTGGAGGGATTAGACAGAGTGTATTACTAGTATGACGTATATGTATATATAAGTACGTTCTGTTTATGTATATTGTGTAAGGTGTTATTTTATGTTTGTTTAACATTCTGCAGACAACAAGAATAAAAAATAATTATCATGTACATCTTGCATAAAACGGAACACATTCTATGTCAAATTTATGACGTTTACTTTCGCGCGCGCGCGCGTGTGTGTGTGTGTGTGAATGTTAATAAATATTTGCAACATACGTAAATATAGTGTATTATCTGTATATATTCAGAGAACAGAAGGTAAGTTATTTATTTTAAATTTAGTAACAGATTGCGTCGTGAAAACGATTTGATAAAGAAATTCTGCAAATTTTTAGAAATGTACAAATTAAACTTCCTGAACATAGTGACTCAGAAATGATTTTTCATAATTGATCGCAAGTAATCGTAAAACTATAAATTGATCCTTAGTACACATGATTGGATCATTCGTATTTTGCGTATTTTTTTTCTTTGAAATACTACAAACATCAAGTTATACGAACATTTATACATAGTATAAAATTTATTACAATCTTTATGTTCTTTAATTTTTGTTATACAATTTTGAAAATACCTTATAAATCATCTTCTTATATATCACCTTATAAATACTTTCTAAAAATGTTAAGTTATATGTAAAAATTTCTTAATAATGTTTGTACTATTCTCTTATATAAGTTATACTTGTAAAAGTGATATAAATTAACATCCGGACACGAATGATTGTGTAAAAGACCTGAAAATTATTATTACTAAAGATTAATTATATAGTTCATATTATATACATATATTTTTGCATATATTCAATATTTGTGCTTATAAAAGCATACTTAATAATTTTTATATCTTCTCTGTAATATCTTCATCTATTGTTGCACCAGTCATGAAAGTATCACCTTCAATGTCTAACTTAAAAAGAATTTCTTCTGGTAAATTCTTTGGTGTGGATAAAAACTCCGAGCAATCTTCGTCGTGACATTTCTGATATACCTTTTTCGTGTTTAAATCTACAATCCAATATACGTTGTTGCTCTTATGATATCTACCAATGTTTTCACAATATCTGTAAAATAATGTAAAAATATTATGTACTATCATTTACAATAGCAAGACGGATGTATATAGAAAAATAAGAACTAATAAGTGATCACTATTATCGATTATAGTTATATTACCTGTTGCCATAAATTTCATATCTCAGCGTTTTAGTTTTATCAAAATATTTAGCAATACGTATCTTGCCAGGATCGATGAGACTACGAATGTACCTATCTATTTCAGGATATGGTGAGCTCTGGTTGTCATTTTCGCGAATGGATCGTATTGGTACATTTGAATAAAGTTTAGCTTTTACGTCGCTTCGATTAAAAAACTCGAGCAAAATTAAATTCTGCTTGTTTGGAAAGTACGATACTAAGGAATCCAAAAAGATCCCCAACTCCTTCTCTCTGCACTTATTCACTGCATTATATATGCAATCTGTAGAAACTGTTAGATACGATTGTTTTCCCCACTTAGTGGACAGATATATTCGAAAATGTCTATTCTTCGTATAGACACCATTGTCAATAAACAATTTTTCACCGTGCTGTGTTTTCACGAGCATTTCCTCAATATCTGCTTTGTTAAAGTGATTTAAAATTCCATTCGATAGCGTATCCGACTTCAAATAAAGTAAAATATCATTGTATATAGTTTTGATGAATTTTCCAATATGTGAGTTGTCCTTAAAAGCCATATCCTTCATAGTAAAAATCACGTGTCTGCTAAATTTCTTACTAGTTGTAGAATCTAGTATTAAAAAGTTACTTGTATCGCATAACAGGTGATAGTGATTGAGTAAATACGCTCGTATGATATCTGTCAGCGTTTTGGTCATGCGTGGTCCATTGCAAAGTGGATTTAGTTCGACAGGATATTCCAAGTCCAGATATAACCAACATGGTGAATCTTTTGGTATTATCTGTAAAATTGATAATTTTCTTTAAGCTTTATACACACATACATGTATCTTATATATATATATATATATATATATATATATATATATATATATATACAGAGTATACGAAAGTGCCTTCATTTACGTTGACTAGATTGGAACTGAGTTGAAAGAGAGATTGGAACTGCGTTTGTCATCACTAATTTGTAGATTGAAAAGGACTCAAACTGGAGTAGAAACGTTTGTTTTTTTATATGAATTTTGTATGTAATAATTAATTGGCATTAACAACCGCAGTGGCTCTCATAAGTTTTAATGACCTAGTTTAGTGTTGATTTATTCTTGAAGCAAATATATATATATATATATGTGTGTGTGTGTATATGTATGTATGTATTTATGTATTATTAAAATATATTGTGAAAAGGAATTTATGTCCCTGTTACATAACACAATTTAAATTTTGAAACATAGAGAAAAATGTTTATGTATTATTAGAATTATTTTCAGAGGGCTGCTACCTTCACGATAATATTATTCCAGCAGAAGTTGATTTTTAAAAAGAAAAAAGAAACAGAGGAAACATTCACAGCATAATAGGTTGTTACTTTCATTAAATCGACTAGTGCACAAAAGAGATGCGTTCAATCTTTTTCAAAAATAAGTTTTTCTTTTTCTTAAAAATACAGAGCAAAGAAAACATTTATCACAGATTTTTAAAAGCATAAAGCAAACGTTGAAAATGAGCAACGAGTGCAGAAAGGAAAACTTGCAAGCATCATGATTTAAAAAAATTGAATAATAATACATACATCCTGTCAGAATGTAGAAGCTTTTCGAATAATCAACGATTAAACTTGAAGGCCAACCAGAAGATTTAATAGACTTTAATGGTCTGTGTTTTAACTTCAGTTTTTTCAAAATTGTTTTTTTACAAATTATCTCATATTATTCAACATATTAAAGAGATATAATTTAAAATAAATAAAATATCCGTAATAGAGTATACTATAAAATTTATGATTTTTTTAGTGCAGAAAGATCATTAAAACTCATCCAAACAATTAGTTTTTTTCTTAACAAAGAAGAATTTGTCCAAAAAGATAACTGTAATTATATACTCTTAATTTTCTATAAATTGTAACATAATTATCGTATATATACTTGTGTTTTTTTTTATTTATCGCTCCTTGGAAATAACCGTTTAAGGCATGTCTTTTTCATGTTCAAGAAAAATATTTAAACGGTTTTTTTTTCTGTTAAGTGCACATAATGAAAAACATTGTGAAACGTTCGAGAAAAATATCTAAACGTTTTTTTTTCTGTAAGACGTAAATCTACAAGGTTATCTCATATCTTCTTCATATCTAAGAAAATTTAAATATCTAAACGTTTTTCCTGTAAGTATAAATAAATCGTAATTGCAAGTTTTGCATACTCACCTCGTATGAACATCTTTGTTCTTGCGGTTTAATTTTGTAATACCACCAATAAACTTCCGGATGCGCTACGACGAATCTGCGACTACCGTCACTAGGTCGTTGATACACGAAGGTACATAACGCGTCCGTTTTTGTGCTGTGTTCAGCAGCCACGGCTAGAGCGTCAGCCTGTTTGTGAAATTCCTGCCAGTATTGGGTCGGGCCCAATATGTGCGATGGCATGACCCGGTACGTTTTCACCCAACAAATCTTGGGGGATGGTGACCGGGATGGTGATCGCTTTTGTACCTTGCCGCCGTAAAATCTACTTGTGCAAATCGGTTCCATTTCGATCGATGCTCGATGAAATCAATCTCAGTATTGTCAGTCAAATAATTTGCGTAATCACTGTTATTATTCCTTTGCGATGGAAACATACTGTGGGGCACTCTGTGACTGTACGAACAGCTGATCTAAATTGGTGTTTCCCGCCAATTTCGTGTCAGCTGATGGTCGCTCCAGTCGTTCGCAGATGATGACAGAGTTTTAACGACAATGGCGGCAATTCAATCAAAGACGCGAGATTAAAGAGATTCCTGCGTTTGCCCTGGCGAAAATAAAAATCGGAGCATAAGTTTACTGTAAAGGGGGAATAACAGAAGCGTAAACGAAACTTTTAGAAGGCGAAAATTGAGACGAAATCTAAAAGAAGCATAAACGCCTTTTTATATTTTTTGTTGTCTTATTTTCGCCTTTTAGAATAAGCTTTATTTATGCTGCCATGTGTTTGTCACTTTCCTCTTACGTTCGACTTCCAATTTTTATTTTTGCCAATTTAAGTTGCAATTAATATATCTTTGCTAATGTTCTTGTTGTGTAACGAGTTTGTCTTATCAATAGGTTTAAAACATCGTTATTGAAATTGGAATGATTATACTTGTATGTCATTCATCTTTTAAAATATTGTAATATTTCTTAAACAAAAACTTTATAAACACTTTTGCATTGTTTCACTTGATATGATATCACCATCATATACATAATACACTCTAAAATTTTTGAGCCATTTAAACAGCATTATTATCCTGAATTCTTCATTTTAAGAATTCATGTTTTTTTCTTTATTTGAATCATTAATTGACGTCTACTTACCTGAAACGACGCGACATGTTAATTAAAAAGTAAAAGCGTTTTCGTTACGTTAACAAGTCCACTTTATTCGCTTTCACAATTTTATAAGACGATGCGAGCGGTTATTAATTTGCAATCGAAGGATTCTTTACTACTAAATACTTAAATGTCAGGGTTGGCAAGTAATGCATTACTTGTAGTGCCGTTACTTCTGTTGATCATTATCTTGTTATAATAACAATTTGGTAATGACATTATGAATTTTTTATAACGATAATGGTCATCAGAGTTATAAAAGTCAATCGTTACTTGTAATGGGTTGAAAAAGTCATCAATCGTTACTGAAAAAAATAACTCCTAATTTGCAACGCGTTACTTTTTACTCATTATTTGTAACGTTACTCGTTACCTATTACTTTTTTCAGTAAGTAATAATGATAAAAAAATTTGTCATGCTTGAACATATATAAATATATATAAACATATATAAGCGTGTATAAATATTCATAAATATACATTTTATATTAAATATGTCCATACATGTTCATATTATTCTTTCTTATATCCTTCTTTCTTTTGTAAAATTACTTTTTAGTGTAATAAAAATAATGATAGTAAAGAATAAAGAAGTTTCGCATTTCATAGATATATTGTATTATTTACGCGACGTCTTCTGCACTTGACTTCTACTGTCTATCCTTTCTTTGATTTATAAGGAGCCTTGGTTAGTTTGATTTGTTATACGGATTTATTTTTTAGCGTAATAAAAATAATAATAGTAATGTGAAAACATTAAAAATAATTAAAAGATTAATTTTCTCACTATTGTTTTAGAAAAAATCAAGTTTGGAAAAATGTTAAAAA